TATATATATATATATATATATAAAGGGACTAAGTGCCCACCCAGCCACTGATGAAACACAAAAATCCTGCTGGGTGACACAGAGCCAGAGGGAACCATTTTTAGTTGAGAAATTTGAACAGGGAGGAATGTTGCTTGTTAAGTGGTTGTAATCAATTACTGAGTAGTTAATGATAGTTTAAAAAATGGAGGGACGTTTTCACAATGATTTACCGGAAGGTCCGTTTTTGAACTGGACTGTGGGTTGATGCTGATGTTTCTTTGGATAATAAATGAACATTTCACAACTTGTGGATGCTTCCTGTTATAGACTGTAAAGTGTAAACTAAAATGCCTTAAATGGAGACACAGGTATCAATATGCAGTAAAAATTAAAAGGCCTAGCTTTTCATATACTTTTGAAGAAATGTATATCACCCTACACCTCTCATGCGAGTCAAGAGTTGCCGGTGTTTTTGACTTGAACTGTGTTGACACCAAACTATAACCAGCTGCCAATGTTCATCCAGTGATGACTTTCTGCAAGTTTAATGGCTACATTATCCATTTTAAGCCTCATCCTATGGCCTGTTTAGAAATGAACAATCACAAAATTCTGTTGTACAAAAGGTAATCACATTTATTTCAACCTTAGATGATCAGAATATATTATACCATACTGTACCACTTACTTTAAATTTCACATCACATGTTCTCATGCATCATCGTAAGCCCTCTGATATACATCACTAACTTCTCAGTATATCCAAAACATTATACAGGAAAGACATTTGTGCTACAGTATGTAGGCATGGCTTGGCCAGTCCTGGCTCCTTGGTAGTTGTCTTTGTCTCTCTATTAGCCCCAGAAATCACAGTAGGAAGAGAGTCTCTGAATTCATTTCTTAAAACATCGTTCAGGTTCTTGTGTGTCTCTGTGCCAGTCCAAGCTGTTGTCTTGTGAGATGGTTCCAGACAGTCTGTGCACCTCTAGCCAATAGTGACCCCAAAGCCACACTGGAACTTGTTTTTGCGATGGTTGAGGAAAGCCCCCAAGGCCAGTGTGAGCGGGAGTGGAATCAGTTTCTTTTCGAGGGTTGCTCCAACCACCCAATTACTGTCAACTGTACCTACGACCAGAAAATTTTGAAAAAATTATTACTTTTGTTTATTTTTACTTTTCTTTTCTTTCTTTTTTTTTTTTTTTTCTTTTTTTTTTTATTGTGATTGAAGTTGCTATGGGTGAAATCTAAATTTTTGTATTTACCTTTAAAAAGCAAATTAGCTTTGGGAAGGTCCAGCTGATAACCGAAGGATGTTGTAGTGTCCTGCATCCTTGTGCTGGCTTCAAATTCAACTCCTACCTGTAACTGTAAAACACATAAAATAACATAACTTAAGTAGGTTATTTTGCTTTTACACATGCATGCTTATACTTTAAAAATATTGTGTGAACGACACATCAAAACCTGATTCTGGATCTTGCTACACATTATAAATAGCTTCAAATGATTAGTAAAGGTAATTTGAACTCTTACAAAGCACTAACTGATTTAAATAATAATCATTATTAGCTACTTTTGTTCCCAAATTAGGTAATGTTATGCATCTAAGCTCCGTTTAAAAAGGTCCAGAAATAAATAAATAAACACGTAACATAGATTCTTGAGCAGTACACAGCATCACCCAACACAATACTACTTATATCAAGTACCTGGTCATTTGCTTTGTGATAGTATGTAGCATGAGCTCCAGCCCCTCCTAAAGTTAAAGTTGCCACAAAGTTGTCACCTAAAAAATAAAATAAAGACAGAAATAAGAACTGACTCGCAGCTGTACATAAAATTTACAAGTAAAACATTCGAAATTACCTGTGTATCTGCTCAGGAAGGAGGTGACAGTTCCTTCCTCTCCGGGTCTTCTGTGATACACCAGCTCACCGCCCAGAACCAGAGCTGGTGTGATTGACTGGAGATAGTGGGAAACTACAATACCTGTTAAAATCATAAGAATTTTAGTGATTACCATGTTTTAAACACTGCGTTATATTCACATTGAGAAATCAACTTTCGTTTAAAAAAAAGAGCTCATTCTGTCTCACCTTCCCCAAACGCTACATCTAAACCAACTGAGAATTTCATGATCTTGTCATCTGTTTTACTTGAGTCTATTGTTTTCTCTAAACTACATCATAAAYAAAGTCCATTAGCTGTGCTACAATATTTGAAAATAAAAAGTTGCTTCATGTTTCTTTTGCAGATGGGCTGTCATAGCGAGCCTGTCATGTTCTGAGTGAGACGATGCTCATTCATGCAGCACAGGCGCCCTCTTCCTGCAGGTTTTGGTGCAGTCAGCTGAGTGTCAACAGTGCTGTTGATTGTTACGATAGTATCTCACCAAGTTGTGACTGAGAAACTAGTTGGTGAAAAAAATATATATATTTCAAAATCTCAAGAAAATTCTGAGGAAATGAGAAACGTCAGTTGGTCTCACTGAGGGTTTAGAACCAAATGACCTGCAAGCAGTCTGGCCAGTTTGTGAGGTGAGTTTTTGAAAATCATGGTTTTTTTCCATGTAAGGCTGGTAAAACTGTATTTTTGGTGGTGCACATTACAACCACTCCCACATTTACGTTTTAATCTGCTGGAGTACACTTTTAGAATGAAGATAAACAGACTTGGACAAGTTTTTTTAACAACTATTATTGTTTTCATTAGCTTGGCTACGTTCAAACTGCAGGTTTGCTCAGATCTGATTTTTGAAAAATAAAAAAATCTGATTTTTTTGGCAAGAACATTTATACTATATTTTAAATACGACTTCCATCTGACCAGTGTGCACACTCCACAGCTCTGATGTGACACACAGAAGATGATGTGACGTCACATTTAACTCAATATTTACAGAAGTAAATAAACATGGATGCTACTTGTTAGCGTGTCAATTCTGAAGTTGTTGTGCAATCAGAGCCGATTAAATAATTATCTGACATGCTTGTTTAGTTCAGTGTTTACATTTGAACCTGCTTTATTTTTGAAATGAAGCGACCTGCTGGAAGTACGACTGATTAACATCAGAATTGATACGGTCCGACAAGGTCACTAAGTTTCTGAATATTCTCAAGTCATCTAAGAGATGGAAAATTAAAAGAACAAAGATGAAGCAACTGGACTTCTGTTCTGTAGCTGAAGACATGTGGAGCTACAAGATTTAAACTGTATGATTCGAGGTTGGTATCATTGTTACTGGATCGATCCTCTCACCCCCACCTCACAGATGTAAAAGTTAGATGAAATGTGACATGAGCGTTAGGACTGCAGTCGCTTTGAAAAACAGATTTGTATCCAATTCAGTACYACATACTGAAAAGACCTATAGTCAGATTTGAAAAAATAATAATAATAACCCAGATTTATCATATTCAGACTGTCACAAAAAAAATGAAATGGGTCACATCACACAAAAAATTGGATTTGTGTCGAATTTTCCTGCACTATGAACATGGTCTTAGACATTATCGTCAAATGCTTCTGTCAGAGAAAAGCTTTTGAGCAAGTAATAAAATACAGCTCTAGCACTTTTCAGATGAGTTTGAGTCATCTGTAGCAAACAAGTGGAAATGCCTGGAAGACTCCCCTCCTGAATAAGGTTTGCTAACTCCTCATAGCCTAGTTTGATATCATCTTTACCAAAATAATTATTTTTGGAAATAGTTCTTTAGAGAGTATCCAAACAGTTAATTRATCTCCAATCATTCAAGATTGCTTTTCTGACCACATCTGATGTTTAATCCTTCTGAAAAAGGAAAATATAATTACCATCACTAATTTTTGAAAGATAAACTATTCACTACACAAGTTCGTTTTAAGGTGAAACATACAATTTGGTGTATGTATAAATCAGTTATGCTGAATCACAAGTCTTCACGACTTTTTTCCCTAATCRTAGCCATACCAGATCCAAGGAGTACATCTGGATTTCCAACTGTCACAGCTGTAGTGAAGTCCCGACCACGATACTCCAAGTCACACTGCCAGTTCACAAACTTATGCTGCTGAGTCTACAACACATGAAAAGGAAAACAGATTATCTATATGACAATAAGCAATAAGGTAAAAACAGATCGAAGCTCAAAGATGCTTTCGCTGCATTTTTACCATACCTGAATTGCTATTTTGGTGCGTAAAGCACTTGCAAGCTGATGGATGACCTGTGCATTTAGACTGCCAGTGTTGTCCATATCTCCAACCAAGACTGGAAATGACTAGGAGGAAAACACACATCACTTTCAGATGTTAGGTGAATGTCTATTATAAMAGAAGAAAAAAGGGTTTAATAGTTTTCAACTACAAAACTTCCTGGTTATTATTTTAAAGAYGGCTGTTGATGTCAATGAATAGTTTGTGTACTCCTTGTATAAAGCAAAACTCGCCTGATATAAATTCAGTATGTTATAGTATAATTTAATAATTGTTGTAAATAATTATATAGTAAAGCATAACAGACATATCTTTATTACTGTTGTATTAATCAGAAACCTTAAAGTACTAACTATTATTTTCTTAAATTGAACAATAACACGCAACTAGGCCTGTCGTGATAAAGCAATRAATCAATTGCACAATAAATTAAAAAGATGATAAATAAAACAAGGCTGATATTTTTCATCTGCCTGATTGTTTGTTTTCTTTATGYCTCTTTTTACTCATTAGCATAGGGAGGAGGGAACAGTCGCRTCAGGTATTTGCCAGACACATGGTCTTGTAACCTCTGTAGCATGAGAGCCCCATGAACAGGCATTTAGCTAGATTGATTTAGTTTAAAACAGTCTCCAACAATATTACTGTTCATTGCGTAATTTCTGAGACAGTTTATCATCCAGCAAAATTTGTTATTGTGACAGGCCTAAACACATCTACCAYGTTTAAAAACCAAATATCAAGATACACATGCAGACAAAGTTAATTAAKATTCCAATCCTTTAAGGCTTTAACAAATACAAATTATTAGATTATATACAACCCTTAGTCAATATCAGGAAGATTTGTTTTGGTCCAACTGTGTGCATTGTTTTAATAGTGTTAGTTAAACTAGGTCAAGAAAATAGGATGTACCTCTGATGGTCCTGTTTGTTTACTGCCAACATATGTGGCACCAAATCGATAACCAGAATCATCCAGGGTGCTGAGGGTAATAGTGTGGCTGATCTGGAAGTGGTTACTTAGACCCTTGTTAACCACTAACCGTACCCCTTCCATCTGGAGAGGAAACAGCTCTAAAAAAAATAAAATAAAATAAAAAACAGAGAAAAAAAATAATGATTTATAATTGTACAGGTACATCAGAACTAATGCTTAAATGTTAAACATTGAAAAGAAATTTTATGAAAATCAAGTTACACATTTAAACCCCTGAGCTTCTCACCTTTACATTTCCGGTGGCACTCCTCATACGTGCCTGGGTTTTGGACCGAGGAATCTGCATCTGACGACTGCTGAGCAGATTCAGACGATGGAGGGACAGATGGCATCGTGAACCCAGGAGGGACAGACACCAAACCTGGGACCCCTTGACCGCCTCCAGCTGCAGCTGGGGCTGGACTGGGTGAGGCAGCAGCTAACACACTGCCCATACTTTAAGACTAACAGACTAGAACACAGACAAGCACACAAGTTGTTTAATCAACTTACAGTTTAAGTGGGAGCTTAGATATGAAACAAAAATGTTGCTGGGTAATTACATGCAAAATTGAGGAAGTGGTATGTAGCATGTGCTGATGATCAAAGATATCTGACGAATAAAATAAAGGTGTTTTTAATCAATCTCACACTACAGTACACTTTAAATGTTAACCGTAGACCATAAACTAACATTACCTTAGCAAGACACTTGAAAGCTCAATCCTAGCAATGAAAAGCAGGCTATTAATGAAGGCCTAGTACAGTAAGATTTCCTCTATAAAATACATCTTAGAAATAACATTAAAATTCGAGCTACAACCTACAGCTTTCCTAATTAGACCACATATAGGGATAAGTAAGCAGCCARGAAAACGATCTGCTAGCTGTACTTAATCTATGAGCTCTAAAGTAAGCTAACGTGGTAACTGTGTTAGCTAGCTAGCTAGGTAGGTAGCCATGTGGAGTCGACCACGAGACCTGTTTCGCTCAATATGACACACACGATAGTCGAACAAACTAAAGGTGGTAACATGAAATGAATTGCAGCCCATATTTTCTGAAGTCCTTATGCAATATTTTTGATTTAGATACTCACAGGGACGGATAAGGTCCAGAGAACGGATTGTTCAATGCCGGTAAAGTTCACCACAACGTCAGTGACTGTAGCTCGCCAAAGCCCGCCCATTTCCACCAACTCAGCTGCTGATTGGCCGATCAGTGTGTAATTTCAACGATTATTGGCTGAAATGCTAGCTGGGGCGGTTTCACTCTGATGACGTATGAGGAGATTCATTCGCCTCACTTTAGTTTATTTCACGTTCTTGCTGAATGACATTCCAAGGGTACGCCTAGTTTGTGGGCCTTCATATAAAAACCCGGATAAAAACCGATTAGGTTGCGAAACTAATAACAACAATAATGCATATTATGTATGTTTTTCTCAAAACTTGCGACTAAAAATTACGTTAACCCAAGATACTCTAGTCTACTTTGAAAGTGCTATTGAGCACAGGTTATGAACATTATGATAGGCACTTTTAAAGAAGGACCTGATTTTTTTTTTTTACCAAAAATTTACAAATGTCATTCATCTGTTTTAAGAGATTAAATTTTAAAATGAAAATGTTTTTACACAAGATATAACATCCAAAAATGCATTTTCAAATAAAATGTAATCTAAAAATAGCTGAAAAACATTGTTGAATTCACGTTGAACCCAAACCCAAAATTTTTCATTTAAAACTTCAAGCTTTAGCTTCCTTGTCCTGTATAATATTCTGTTTTGAGACAGTACATTTGGACAGCCAATTACCCAATCTTAGCAGCACCTGTTTGATGATGTAAATTAGCAG